GGTGGGGGCTCCATCCGTCTCAGTGTCGCTGGGCGTGGCATGGACTGCATCTCCTCAACGCCAGGGGGTTGCGCAGGGGGTGGTGGGGGCGCTATCCGTCTCAGGGTCGGAGGGCGTGGCAGACGTGGCACTTCTTCGATGCCAGAAAAAGAATTCGCTGGGGGTGGGGGCGCTACCCGTCTCTGGCTCGCAGGGCGTAGCACGCGTGGCATCGCCTCGATGCCAAGGGGGGTGCGCAGAAGGTGGGGAGCGCCATCCGTCTCAGGGTTGCACGGCGCGGCAGGCGCGGTATTTTCGATGCCAGAGGGCTTTCGCTGGTGGTGGGGGCGCTACCCGTTTCAGGCTCGCACGGCGTGGCAGGCGTGGCATCGCCACGGCGCCAGAAGGGTGTGCGCAGGAATGGAGGGCGCTGTCCGTTTCAGGCTCGCAGGTCGTGGCAGGCGTTGCATTTCGCGACGCCAGACGGGGCGCGCGGGGGGTGGGGACGCTATCTGTTTCGTTGTCGTTGTGGTTGTAGTTGCAGTTGTAAGAGTAGTGGTGGTTTTAGTCGAACTAGTGGGAGGTAGTAGTAGTAGTAGTAGTAGTAGTAGTAGTAGTCGTCGTCGTCGTCGTCGTCGTCCTCGTCGTCGTCGTCGTCGTCGTAGTAGTCGTAGTAGTAGTCGTAGTAGTAGTAGTAGTAGTAGTAGTAGTAGTAGTAGTAGTAGTAGTAGTAGTAGTAGTAGTAGTAGTAGTAGTAATCGTAAAAGTAAAAGTAGTTAAATTAGTAGTAGTAGTAGTCGTAGTAGTAGCAGTAGTAGTGTAGTAGTAGTAGTAGTAGTAGTAGTAGTAGTAGTAGTAGTAGTAGTAGTAGTAGTAGTGGTAGTAGTAGTAGTCGTAGTAGTAGTAGTAGTAGTAGTAGTAGTAGTAGTAGTGGTGATATTAATAGTAGCAGTAGTAGTAATACTAGTGGTGAAGGTGGTGGTCGAAGTAGTAGTAGTAGTAGTAGTAGTAGTAGTAGTAGTAGCAGTAGTAGTAGTAGTAACAGTAGTAGTAGTAACAATAAAAGGAGTAGTGCTCGAAGTAGTAGTAGTAATAATGGTAGTAGTAGTCGTAGTCGTAGTAAAGTAGTAGTAATAGTAGTAGTAGTAGTAGTCGTAGTAGTAGTAGTAGTAGTAGTAGTAGTAGTACTAATAGTAATAGTAGTAGAAAGCGTAGTAGTAGTAGTCGTAGTCGTAGTAGTCGTAGTAGTCGTAGTGGTAGCTTTGTAGTGGTAGTAGTAGTAGTAGTAGTAGTAGTACGAGTACTAGTAGTACTAGTAGTAGAAGGAGGAGTAATAGCATCAAAGGAATAAAAATAATCATAATCGTAGTAGAAGTAGTAGTTGTAGTAGTAGTAGTAGTAGTAGTAGTAGTAGTAGTAGTAGTAGTTGCAGTAGTAGTAGTCGTAGTAGTAATGATAGTAGTAGTAGTAGTAGTAGTAGTAGTAGTACTAGTAGGAGTAGTAGGCGTACTCGTACTGATAGTAGTCATAGTCGTAGTAGTCGTAGTAGTAGAAGTAGTAGTAATAGTAGTAACAGTAGCAGTCGTAGTAGTCGTAGTAGTAGTAAATAGTAGTAGTAGTAGTAGTAGTAGTAGTAGTAGTAGTAGTAGTAGTAGGCGTCGCCGTCGTCGTCGTAGAAGTACTAGTAGTAGTAGTTGTAGTAGCGGTAGTAGTAGTAGTAGTAGTAGTAGTAGTAGTCGTCGTAGTAGCAGTGGTCGTAGCAGCAGTGGCCGCCGTAGCCACAGTAGTAGCAGTAGTAGCAGTATTAGTAGTAATAGTAGTAGTAGTAGTAGTAGTAGGAGTAGTAGTAGTAGTCGTAGTAGTAGTAGTAGTAGTAGTAGTAGTAGTGCCAATAACCATGACAATAGTAGTAGTAGTAATAGTACCAGCAGTAGTCGTAGTAGTAGTAGTAGTAGTAGTAGTAGTAGTAGTGGTAGTAGTAGTAGGCATAATAGTATTGGTGGTTGCAGTAATAGTCGTAGTAGTAGTAGTAGTAGTCGTACTAGTAGTAGTAGTAGTAGTAGTAGTAGTAGTAGTAGTAGTAGTAGTAGTAGTAGTAGTAGTAATAGTAGCAGTAGTAGTAGTGGTCGTAGCAGTAGTAGCCGTAGTAGTAGCAGCAGTAGGTGTTTATAGTAGTAGAACTAGTAGTAATAGTAGTAGTAGCAGTAGTAGTAGCAGTAGTAGTAGTAGTAGTAGTAGTAGTAGTAGTAGTCGTAGTCGTAGTAGTCGTAGTAGTAGTAGTAGTCGTAGTAGTAGTAGTAGTAGTAGTAGTCGTAGTAGCAGTTGTAATTGTAGTAGTAGTAGTAGTTGTAATTGTAGTAGTAGTAGTAGTAGTAGCAGTAGTAGTAGTAGTAGTAGTAGTAGTAGTAGTAGTTGTAGTAGTAGAAGTAGAAGTAGAAGTAGAAGTAGTAGTAGTAGTAGTCGTCGTAGTAGTAGTAGTCGTAGTAGTAGTAGTAGTAGTAGTAGTTGTTGTAGTAGTAGTGGTAGTGTTTTAGTTGTCGTAATGATACATATGGTGCACATAGGACATAACACAAGTATGTGGGGTTTCTCGGTAGCGTAATTGAAGGTTTCTGGCTGTTGCATTTGTCCGTAAAAAATGCCCCCCCCCCCGGATCAGAGCGCCTAAGAGGCATCGAAGACGGACCCACGACAGCCAAAGTGGCCTCCAACACGGCCCTAAGAGTGGCCCAGGACGGCCCACGAGGCCTCCCAAGACGCTGAAGCTGGCCTCCAAGACGGCCCTGAAGCGCCCCAAGAGGGCCCCAAGTCGGCTCAGAGAAGCATCTAAGACGGCCTCCGACGTCGTCATACGGGCCAGGAACGCTGTAAGACATCCAAGAAGCCCCAGAAGGCCCCCGGGAGGCCCAAGGAGTCCCCAAGGACCTCCAAAAGGCTCCCAGGAAGCTCCCAGGAGGCCCCACGAGGGGCCCCAGAGCTCCCAAGAGGCCTCCTCCTGCTTCTCCCTTCCTTTTTCGTATGTTTCCTCCCTCTTCTCCTTCTCCTCCTCCTCCTCCTCCTCCTTTTCCTCCTCCTCTTCCTCCCCCTCCTCCTCCTCCTCCTCCTCCTCCTCACTCCTCCCCCTCTTCCCCCCCAAGCGTTCCCTGAAGGGCTTCCACAACGGCTGGGGAAACGCATGGTCCAACAGCGTGGCCAAACTCTGCCCAAACGTTTAGCCTCGTAGGCGCATCCTAGAAGACAGGGGGCGGCGGTGATTTGAAGTAATCGTCTTCGATTGACGCGAGCGCCTGCCAGAATTCCTTCAGCACTGCACTAAGACAAACGACAACACATACAGCTAAAACACTCGGGCCTTGCATCAAGCTACCTCGGGGGAGACGCTCCTGTTTCGGTCATCCCGACTCTCTGCACCATCCATGGCTCAAGGCGCGAGGCTCGAAGCACCGTCACCGCTGTACTTCTCCTGCGTAGTACCGCCAACTGCTGGTCTGGACCCAGGCTGCTCGATTAACCATACTTCTCCTGCGTGGTAACACTAACTGCGGGTCTGGACTCAGGCGGTTCGCCGCGGCTGCGGCTTCAGGAGGCCGAGAGCGTACCGATGCCTCCACGCCCCTGTGGATAGAAAGGAGGGCCCCCAGTGCAGCAGATTGAGGGGCAACGGCAAGGGGGGGGGGGCTGGCTCAGGGGGGGGGCACCCTCGAGCTTGGAGCGGCGGTGCATCGCCGACAGATCGGCGACAGGCCCCCGATAGCCAATCCGCACGTTCCTGGGCGGAGTGGGGAGTGGGCCATCGAGCCCCCTTACAGTCGGGCTGCTGAAAGACGGAACGCTAAATAAGGAACGAAGCCCCCTCTTGGCCCTGTAAGCCGTGCCCCAGGAGGGCAAGGGGAAGAGCACTGGGGGAACATAAGGGACATCGAGCCCCTTCCGAACCCAAGCTGCTCCTTCCCGCAGCGTCTTGACTGCATCGACGAGAGATGGGCGCCTGGGAGTCGAGCTGTCCCCCCCGAGCCCGGCCGCCCCTCCATCCGCCCCGGACAGGTCCGTCCGTAGGAGCCCACGCGCGCTCGGGCGAACGCCACCGGGAAGGGTGCCCTCAGGAACCCCGTGGGCGGAGAGCGGGACGCCCGACACGCTGCAGGAGAAGACGGGCGTGGCACCGGGCACGGAGGAGCTCCACACGGCGGCTCCGCGCAGACCGGCGGTGGCGCCTGCGCGGGTCGAACTGGCCGCAGCTCACAGACAATCGATCGGGGCGAACTTGTCACAGTGATGACGCGCTCGGCGAACCCTAGCCATAGGAGGCGGGCATTTGCCCCGACGGTGGCGCTATGATCAGAAGTACCCCCAAGGCATCTGCAAGCACGACAAACAGGCCTGGCCAAGGCCGTCGTCCTGGGCCCTGGGGGTGAGGCCAGGAGGGCGTACACACCATCCTAGGGAGCAGGATGGCCCAGGCCAGACATGGTGGTGTACAGTAGGAGCTCGACCACAAGAAACCTTCCACAATAAACCCAACCCTGAGACTCCAGGACGTCCATGGACTTTTGGTGTGGGACAGTCACGCTTTCCATTGCACAACCATCGAAACCGAAGAAACCCAGGGCACACTTGAGGCAAGCAGGGTGTTTCTTGGCATGGGATTCCCACTGAAAAGACACCTTCTGCGGAGCAATGGAAGCGCTAGATTCGAGAGCAGGGACCGACCGTCCAGGCATTCCCATAGGCCTACCACGAATTGTTCGTAGAACCCAAAAATCTTCGACGAACAAAAGCAATGTTCTTAGAACGTTAACTCGATGTGCTAAGTCGGGACAGTCTCAGCCAGATATGTCTTCTAGAACACTCCGCGCAGACCACCCCAAAGGTTCTCAGAACGCTGGTGGGCCTGCAGGCAAGCCAGGACGCTTTGCCACCGCTCGATGGATGGAAGCCGAGATGAGTCCGTCGAGCGAGGGAGCGAGCGAGGGTGGCGGCACCGACCCCCGCGGCGGGAGGCCGGGCAAGGGGGGGGGGGCCTGCGGATGGGTTGCGGCAGTCGGTCAGGCTGCCGCGCTCCTCCCCGGCCCGCACGGGGGGACCAGAGCACAGGGGCGACCAGCTCCGAGCTCTCGCGCCGCTCCCCGCGGGAGAAGTAAGACGAAGCCAGGACGAGGAAAACTGAAGGGGCCCTGGGACACACAAATAAATACACACAAATAAAAAGATGCTCCATATGTTCCAATATTTTCTGGGTTTTTGTCTTCCCCCCCACTTCCCATATTTTCCCATATTTTCTTGGAAATCGACAAATAATTCCCAACCATCCTGTGGTGTTGGGTCCTCGTTTTGAAGAGACGGTGCCCCGCGTTCCTCCTCCTTCCTCCCGCTGCCCCCTCCCTCCCCCTTGCCTCTGCCCTCCGCATGTCTCTGTTTCGGCACATCCCTCACGCGTTCCGTGGCCCCATAGGGAGCTCCACCGAAGGCCCCAGCGTCAGGGTCCGCATGGCGGCCCCGCATTTTGGCGCACCCCTCACACGGTTCGTGGCCCCATAGGGAGCTCCACCGAAGGCCCCAGTGGCAGGGTCCGCATGGCGGCCCCGCATTTTGGCGCACCCCTCACACGGTTCGTGGCCCCATAGGGAGCTCCACCGAAGGCCCCAGTGGCAGGGTCCGCATGGCGGCCCCGCATTTTGGCGCACCCTCACACGGTTCGTGGCCCCATAGGGAGCTCCACCGAAGGCCCCAGTGGCAGGGTCCGCATGGCGGCCCCGCATTTTGGGCCCGCCCCTCACACGGTTCGTGGCCCCATAGGGAGCTCCACCGAAGGCCCCAGTGGCAGGGTCCGCATGGCGGCCCCGCATTGGGGCGCACCCCTCACACGGTTCGTGGCCCCATAGGGAGCTCCACCGAAGGCCCCAGTGGCAGGGTCCGCATGGCGGCCCCGCATTTTGGCGCACCCCTCACACGGTTCGTGGCCCCATAGGGAGCTCCACCGAAGGCCCCAGTGGCAGGGTCCGCATGGCGGCCCCGCATTTTGGCGCACCCCTCACACGGTTCGTGGCCCCATAGGGAGCTCCACCGAAGGCCCCAGTGGCAGGGTCCGCATGGCGGCCCCGCCCCATGTTGGCGCACCCCTCACACGGTTCGTGGCCCCATAGGGAGCTCCACCGAAGGCCCCAGTGGCAGGGTCCGCATGGCGGCCCCCCATTTTGGCGCACCCCTCACATGGCTCGTGGCCCCATAGGGAGCTCCACCGAAGGCCCCAGTGGCAGGGTCCGCATGGCGGCCCCGCATTTTGGCGCACCCCTCACACGGTTCGTGGCCCCATAGGGAGCTCCACCGAAGATGATGCCCACAATTGCGGTATTAACAATTGCTTATGGTTGGGTCTTTCGCCAGGCTAATTGTGTCTGTGTGTTTTTTACCCTCCTGAAAAACACCGGGCCAGGACGAATCGAGAATCTCTGAGCACTGGCGGCTCCAGAGGATGGCTCGGGCACCGCGGCCTCCTCGGAGCGCGTCGGAACGCGCTGAGAGCGTTCCGGCGCGCTCTGGGAAGGAGTTCTATCTCGTTTCTATAGGCCCGTCCGACACGCTCTGGTGGGTTCCTGAGGGATCCCTGAGGGTTCCCCTGCAGAGCTCTGGGGATTCCTGCGGATTCCAGAAAATTTGGAAAAGGGCTAACTATACCACCAGGACGGCGTACCCCTGGTGAGGTGTCGCAGCGGCCCCGATTCCAGTCAGGTGTCGCAGCGGCGGACGGATTCTCCCTCGCCCTAGCCCCGTCCGAAGAAGAGGAAGATGAAGAATTGAAAGAAACACTCCATAAACATGAACTTTCGGCGCTCCGCGCGGATTTCTTGGATCTGCGCTGGCCCCCCCCTCCCTGGCGCGCGGAGTGCGCCAGGGGCGGCGCCAGAGGCGCCGCAGGGGGGGCCCAGCGCGGATATAAGAAATCCGCGCGGAGCGCCAAAAATTAATGCTATGGCGTTTTTCTTCTTCAAATAATCGGGGCCGAACACCGAAGCGCGAACAGCTTTGCACTCGGGCCACTGGAGAAGAGTAAGGAACTCCGCAGCTGCGCCGCTGCTGCTCTGCAGGGCCTGGTCAGAGCCAACCTGGGACCTAGTGCTCAGTGGGCCCCCAAAAAGGCAGGCCTTGTTTTCACCGTTTTCGAAAAAGCTTCTCTGGAAACGACGACGACGAAAAACAAATGTATATTTGTTCTGGGAAGCGGTTCAAAAAAACGACTGGAAACAACAAAAAACCAGCTCTGGGATTGGAACCGGAACCGGAACCGGAACCGGTAACAACAACGGCGACGGAACCGGCAACAAAAAAAACGGCGACGGAACCGGCAAATAAACTGAGAAACTGAACAGGACAGAAAAACGGCTGTGGCGTTTCTAGGGCCCACTAAGCTCTGGCGTGGTGTGCACACCCCCTCCTGGCCGAGGGGGGCCAGGAGGGCCCGTACACTATTGAAGGGGCCCAGGGACAAACCAACAAAATCCACGTCAATTCAATGATGTCCAAAAGCTTTCTATGTCTTCTTGATCCTCGTCTTGCCCCCCCCCCCACCACACACACACACTTTCCATGATTGTTCCATACTGTCACGGGAATCAGCGATGATGTGTGTCTGTTTGTGTTATCCCCTCCTGAATTCTGCTGGGGCTCAGGATGTCCCTGGCCGAGGTAGCGGTGTGCAGGCGCCCTCTGCGGACAAGAGGAGGGGCGAGGAGGCACGCGAAGGGAAAGGAGAGGGATGCAGACGAGGACGAGGAGGAGAAACAGCAATTGAGGCACCCTCCTCCTCCTCCTCCTCCTCGTCCTTCTCCTCCTTCTCCTTGTTTTCTCCGATACAGGAACGTGCGATGCGTGCGATTCTTCCTTGTGTTGCAAGCACGGCGTATGGAGAGACGTCATGCTGAGGGCGGTATAAGCAAATGAGACTTAGGATGTATGCAAGCGACAGACGGCAGGCTATTGCAATTCCCCCGTCGTACTAAACATACCTCATACGAACATTTGTTACCCATCATTACTCCCAGTCGGGTGCCTGCCACAATACCACATACACCTGCTCAGCTGAACGCGCTGAATGACAGCTCTTCTGCCAACAATGAAAGAGTTCGGACAATCTATACCAAGCCGAATTCGTCAACATAGCCAAACAGCCGCGCAACCACAGGCGTGAGAAAGACACGAGACTCTAGGTCAAGAGGAAAGTTTAAGCAGTGTCCTCAATTCCAATGTTACTCTGCACTTTACAAAACATTTAAATTGCACGTTTGTGTATCTCCCACGACTCCCGACCAAAATGATACGCCCGTGCTGAACAGTTACACAACAACAGTGGGAGCTGCCTGACACGGATGACCAACGGAAGCAAAGCGGCATGCGGCTCATGGGCACGCTGCGTATTCGCAAGGCTTACACCTCTTTGCGTGTTACAGGGTGCGTAAAACCGAGCGCAAGCTTGGTCAATACAACATGCCATGACCACTGTGTACACTAACCGCCACTGCGGATGTTGAGTGAAATTGTGTGCATGCGTAGACGTGATTGTGTTGCTTGCTTGCTCCGTACGACACAATAGCTCGATCCCAAACGCATGGGGTCCAAAATGCGTCGAATGGTTGCTGCACGGCCCGAAGTCCTTTGCTGCATCAACATATGATCCGGGGGCTCGAGACCAGGAACTTCCCTATCCATTTGGACGCCCTGCAAAATAATTGTTCTATGACGAACAATACCGAAGAAATGTTTCCTGGACAATCCTCACTCAACCCATTTTCGGGACAATCGCCAACGTGCGGTGTACGACAGGCCCGCACCACTGAGCAGGCCTCCCCCGCAACGAGACGACCCGAAAAGCAATTCCAAACGGTCGTGGACGGCGTTCCGCAACAAGAATTCCCGAAAACGATCCATAGAGGAACGAAAAACGGCATAAACATAGCTTTCGCCGGTCCGCGCGGATTTCTTGGATCCGCGCTGGACCCCCCTCCCTGGCGCGCGGAGCGCGCCAGGGGTGGCGCCGGAGGCGCCGCCAGGGGGGCCCAACGCGGATCCAAGAAATCCGCGCGGACCTCCGAAAATTCATGTATATGCCCTCACTGGACGTTCCGCAACACGACAGTCCTCAAAGGGCGTCCCGCATAACAACGTTCCCCCAGACAGCCTCCAACAGGGGTTGCGCCACACGTCAGCTCCCTGGATAATCCTCAATGGCCCTCTGCAACACGACGTTTCGTAGACAATCTTTGGCGAGCGCTCTGTATTGCGACAAATCCCAGAGCAATCCTCCACAGGTGGTTCGCAACCCAACGGGCTCTTCGTCGAGATCGTCGTCGCTATCGCCGCCACCGTCGTCTCGTGAAAGTCAGGGTCATCGTCGAAATCGTCGCCGTCAAGGTCGTTGCCGTCTAGGTCGTACAGTTCGTGGTCGTGGTCGTGGTCGGAGTCGTGGCGGTCGTCGTCGTCGTCGTCGTCGCCTTCGCCGTGCTCGTCGTCGTCCTGGCCCCCGGTCTTCCATCCCTCCCGTTCCGCCCGGCTTCGCTACCGCACGGCCGCCCGACGGAGTCCGCCCAACCCCGGCCCGCCCGACCTGCCCGTCGGTGCCCGCCCGTGTCCTCCCGCCCGCACGCCCAGCACCCACACCGCACGCGTTCGCTCTCACACGCAGCTGTGGCGGAAGCCGCTCGAGTGCTCCAAGTGCGGCAGGGGCCCGACCAGAAGAAACCTTCCGCAGGAAACCCAACCCTGAGACCCCAGGACGTCCATGGATTTTTGGTGTGGGAGCGTCACGCTCTCCACGGCAAAACCATCGAAGCCCAAGAAACCCAGGGCACCCTGGAGGCAAGCAGGGTGCTGCTTGGCATGGGTTTCCACTGCACGTCGAAATCACCCCCCCGCACACACACTCACTCACTCACTCACTCACACACACATACACACACACACACACGCTGTCTTATCGGCAAAACCGACGGATGCAGGCGCGTTTTGTCCAGTGGGGCGCACCGGGCGCCTGGCGCTAAACACGGGGCGACCCTCCTCCGCCTCCTCCCCCTCCTTCTATTCCTCCTCCTCCTCCTCCTCATCATCATCATCCTCCATTCCTTCATTCCTTTTCCTTATAGACAACTTCTCCCTGTCGCACCCTCAAGCCGGTCTTTAGGGCGGGATGGACGTTTCGCCTGAGACGTCCTCACCACTTATTTCTCTGAAACTTAAGAAGCAGCAACAGTTTCGCAGATGGGATGTGGGCCGTTTTCAACATGTGGTTCTCGCCTTAGCGCAGCACACATTCGTTTAACAAAATGCAACAACTTCACGGATTGAGGGCTGGTCGTTTTCAACATGTGGCTCCCGCCTTACCGACGCGCACATTCATTTCAGAAAACTGCAAAAACTTCACGGATTGAGGGCGGTACTTTTTCAAAATGTGGCTCTCGCCGTAGCGCCTCGCACATTTGTTTTAGACATTTGCAAGAGTTTCACGGATTGAGGGCGGTACCTTTTCCAAAATGTGGCTCTCGCCTTAGTGCCGCGTACATTCGTTTTCAAAAGTTGCAGGAGCTTCTGTCACGGATTAAGGGCGGTTCTTTTGCCGAATGTGGATCTCGCCTCAGCGTCGCGCACATTCTTTTTCAACATTTGCAAGAGTTCCACGGATTTCCCATGATCAACGTACCAGAAATTGTGTGTTGGAAGGATTCAGGACTATGCGGGCGCAACAAGTATGTGGATTCGCGGTGTCGAGTCACAAAAATGGCGTTCTGGCATGGTTCTGGATCGTCAAGACGCAGCAGTCAGGTTGATACGTGGCGTTGAGATCCCGAGAGCAATGTTTTGGCACGCTTCAGGATCTTCAAACGGCTGTCTTCCAACGAGGCAGTTCCCTCAATGGAAATGACCGGTGGTAGTGGCCTACGAAGAGAGAGCTTGGAGCGAAAGTCCATTCCAACATCGTTGATGACTCTTGGTCTTACACTGGTCCTTATAGATAACTTCTCCTTGTCGCACTCCGAGGCATTTTTTACGGCGGGCCAGGAATTTCGCCTGAGACTTCCTCACCACTTTTGACTCTGAAGCTGAAACCGTGAAAACTTGCAAGGGCTTCACGGATTGAGGGCGGGTTATTTTCTAAATACGGTTCTTGCCTTAGCGCCGCGCACATTCGTTTTCAACATTTCCAAGAATTTCACGGATTGAGATCGGGTCGTTTTCAACATGTGGCTCTCGCCTTACCGCCGAGCGCATTCGTTTTCAACATTCGCAAGAGTTTCACGCATTGGGGGCGGGTCGTGTTCAAAATGTGGCTCCCGCCCTAGCGCCGCGCACCTTCGTTTTAAAACATTGCGAGGGTTTTGCGGATTGAGGGCGGGTCGTTTTCAAAATGTGGCTCTCGCCTTAGCGCCGCGCACATACGTTCTCAAACATGGCAAGCGTTTCGCGGATTCAGGGCGGCGTCTTTTCCAAATGTGGCTCTCGCCTTAGCGCCGCGTGCAGCCGTATTCAAAAGTTGCAAGAGTTCCACGGATTCCCATGATCAACGTACCAGAAATTACATGTCAGACGGATTCAGGATCATGCGGGCGCAGAAAGTATGTTGATTCGCGGTGTGTTGAAGTCCTAAACATGACGTTCTGGCACGTTCCAGATCGTCAAGGCGCAGCAGTCAGAGTGATACGTGGCGTTGAAATCCCGAGAGCAATGTTTTGGCACGCTTCAGGATCTTCAAACGGTTGCCTTCCAACGAGGCAGTTCCCTCAATGGAAGTGACCCGTGGTAGGGGCCTGCGAAAAGGAAGAGCTTGGAGGGAGGGTTCATTCCAACATCGTTGATGGCTCTTGGGTTTGTACTGGTCCTCCTCATCTTCCGCCTCCTCCTCATCCTTCTCCCTCCTCCCGCCTCCCTCCCTCCTCCCTCCTCCCTCCTCCGTCCTCGCTCCTTCTCCTCCCTTCTTGTCCTCCTCCCTCCTCCTTCTCCTCATCATCATCCCTCCGCCTCCTCCTCCTCCTCCTCCTCCGCGACAGCACAACTGGATTGCACTCAGCGACAAATTCTCTCCAACTGCCAGGCATTCGTGTGTACCCGTGCCCTTCAGACCGCCTGCCCTGCTCAAGCTTGCAGCTGGCGACCGCAGCATATTCTCGGAACCCACAGAAGCCAAACCCTGCCCCCTCCAAGACTTGCTTCTGCGTCGGTCCATCGCACTGGCGCGCGTAGCAGACCAGGCATAGGGAGAGAGTGAAAGAGAGAGCGAGAGAGAGAGAGAGAGAGACGAGCGAGCCAGAGGGGGTATAGGGAACGACAAAAACACAGGGAGGTAGGGACTGGCAAGAAGAGGGACATCACAGACAGCAACAAAGTAAAGCCATAAGAAATGGCAGATAGCATGTACATGACATCTGGGTACACACTTGGGTCTGAGACGCACACTGCACCATTACGAAATCAACCTTGTGCAACTACTGACACTCATCCAACCGATTGGTATGACATTGACGTTGCCAGAGACACCGAAACCAGAAACGGACACAACATGTGCACACGGGCAACAAAATGTGGTGATAACTATGAGAATATGACAATCAACGGCACGGACAACTTGCTGACAACGAAGATTTAGCAAACCCTGATCTAAGCTCTACCTATCTCTCTGTTTCTCTCTGTCTCTATGTGTCTCTCTGTGCATCTCTCCTTCTCTCTCTATACCACTAACTCTCTCTATATATATGTATATATGTATCTCTCTATCTCTCTCTCCCTCTGTCTCTCTCTCCCTGCATCTTGATGTCTCTCTGACTCTCTCTCTCTTTCTCTTTCTCCCCATCCCGCTCTCTCTCTCTCTCTCTCTTCTATCTTCCCTCTCGCGCGAACTTCTGTCAAGAAACCCGATAATCAACAGCGCACATGTCTTGAAACATGGAACCCTCTTCATACCCCTATGACTACAGATCTGAATTCCTCCCCAATCCTGTTCCCCGTTCTCCCAGTCTGTACCTTGTCTGCCGCGTCATACTCATGGTCGCCATCCTCCTCTTCCCTTCTCTGACTTTGGCGTCCTCCTTCTGCCCACTTCTTGCCCTCTCCTCCTCGCACTCATCCGCCCGCGCATCCTCCTCTCCTCATCGTCTTCCTCCTCCTTCTCTGCCCTCTCCTCATCATCGTTGGCAAGATCCTCTCCCCTGTCCCCGCTCCTTCCCGTTGAGGTCTCTGAGCGCCTGTCCAGTGACAGAGCGCTGTGCTCGCGCTCCGACGTTCGAGGGGTGGAAGGGTAGTAAGGAGGGGGTGGCAACAGCGCACCTCCTTTCCCTCGTCCAGCAACCTGGCAACACAGTCGCACCATCAGTGTCGATCGCACCCAACGTTCGGCCACAACACACACAAACCTGTTCCTCCTTTGGCGCTGTGAATCACGAGCGCGTGCTACGCTAACGGGATGCGTCGACACAAACTGTAAACGAGTTCGTGTCGAATGCGCTCGGGCCAGTCAGCACACATAAAGCGTTCCTCCGACGCGCAAGTGGGTTGCAGCCAGGGGCGGGAAGTCAAGCAAGGACACCGCTAAAACAACTGAGGGAGCGCGATGGAACCCGAGGGGGGAACAATTCCCCCCCCCTTCCCTGGGACTCCCAACCGACTGGCACCAATTACAACCAACTGGGCCATTTCTCAACCGGCCAAAACAACAACTGGTACAAGCTACAACCATCGCGGAACAAGAGCCGAAAAGGTCAACATGACCACTCCTGACGGTGGGCTCAGCCCACCGCCGCAAGGTGATTTCGTGCGTGACAACACTCTGGAGCACTGCCAGGAAGGCCAAACACCCTTCACCAACCGTCCCTTGCTCGCCGAACTCATGTCCGCGAAGTGTGCCGATCAAGATGTGCCCAATGACGACCTCCCCAATAGGAGCCGTGACCGCGCCCCCCGATGCGGCGAGGACTGCGAAATCAGGGCGCTGAGCCTGCACTCCCTGGGTCGGCTGCCACGGACTGGCGTCACGGCACACATGCGTCTGCTGGAGGCCCTCTCTACCTCCTTGGCCTTGATGCCCTCCGCCGCCTCTGGGGAAAAACGGCCTTCGACAGATACCGCAAGCATCAAGGTACCCCTGGCCACCACGAGGTAGTTTGCAATGCGTTTTCTGGCGAAGAAACTACAACCATCCATCTTGAGCCGGCAATGCGGTTCTATGTGTAGAGCAAATCAAAACGACAAAGAAATCAAATGCACGTCTTAAGAGAATCCATCCATTCTGGGGGGCAGAGTGAAAGCCACGATTGGAATAGTACGAATTCGTTGTGTAGTCGGTACGATTTCATTGAATCACGATTGATTTGTAGTTGAACAATTTCGTAAACCTACACTTATTGTTCTGTCATGTAAGACCTGCGGCAGTTCCATCAACGAACAATGCATTAAACAAACACAAAGTGTATATACCCGTCAGAATCGGAGACAACTCACAATAAAAAACTCATCGTGTACATCTGAGAACTGCAGCCGTGAGGTGGAACCAGAAAGCAGGCTTCAAGTGCGCAAGTTGCACAAACGAGCTGTTACATGGCATATGACACCTCGGAGGTCTGCATCATATGGAAAAGGGGCGGTGTAATCCGTCCATGGTACTTCTGAACTTTCTCATGTGGAACTTCTACTCCGTGCTTGTAATGTGGTACTGGCTGTGTAACCTGTTGTTTGTTTCCACTGTTTATTGCTTAACGACTATAACAGATTTGCTCGTGCAATGTGCATTGTCCATTGTTTTTTGTCCTGTATGTGCCGATCCAGCATGCAGGCCGCTTCATTGTCTAAGAGTATGTGTGTGCCCATCGGAATTTGATAAGACGCGGGCTGTTCCCAGCCTTCCGCGGAGCCATGTACCTTCAATATGTTGTTCACTTGGGATTACAAGGGACATGCGCCGACCCCGCCCTGCATCTGACGTAGCTTACACTGTTCTGTGGTTGTCACTGGAGCGTTAATGAGAGATACTCTGACCCCAGCCTCCTACGAAATGTTTTGATAGCATATTTGTTCTTCAATCGGGGTTCAATCGGGCACGCGCTGGTCTTAGCCTCCCACATAATCCTGCAATGGTTTGGAAATCTGGATGACCGAATTCAGTAGATCACGCGATGACCCCCCGAAAAACTCTATAACTTGCGATTTGTGTATCAATCGGACTGAAATCGGAAAAGCGTTGATCCCAGCCTCCCGCAGAATTCTATGATACTTTATTCGTTGTTTCGAATTCGAATGTGATCGGAAATGCGCTGGCCCCAGCCTCCCGCAAAAGCAATTCATACTATATTAACGTTTCTCTTGGGAATTAATAAAACATGCGCCGACCCCAACCTTCTGCATAAGTGCTGCTTGAATCGGAGATGCGCTGGTCCCAGCCTCCCGCATAATGCGTTTACTTCATATGTGGTACTCAACAGAAACTCTGTGGGACACGCGTTCGCCGCAGCCTCCTTCATAATGCGTTAATGCTTCTCGTGCTTGATTCAGACTGAATTCCATAGGAAACACACTGGTCCCAACCTGCCATCCTAGTTCTATCATACGTGATTGGTTTTCCTTATAGGAATTCACCGGGGAGTGAGGGCTGCCCGAATCCCCGAAGATAATGGCGCGCCGCCTCTCGGAACGCGACCTTCTGGGGGCGTGGGACCATCCCGCGCCGCAGAAAGGGAGGCGCGGGGGCCGAACGACTCGGCGACGGCGGCGGCGCGGCGGAAGGCAAGGTGATTCGGCCCGCCTTCCCCCCCCGAATCCCTAAGGAATTTTCAGGGGAATGTCTGAGGAGCTTCCTAAAGCGGTTGGCAGTGTTACCAGTTGGTTGGAACTGGTACCAAAATGGTTGGAATCCGTTCCAATCGGTTGTAATCCGTACCAATCTTCGGGTGAGCCCAGGGAGCAAAACCCCCCACCCCCCCTGGTTCGAACCGGGAGGGGGGGGAGCAAAGGGCTCGAAAAGACTCGATCCAGCTCCAATCGAATCCTGCCACTCGGGCTGGATCCATCTCTCATTAACTCCTACTAGGGCTCGATCAGGCTCTACAAGAGCACTACATCAGCTCGGTCCAGTTCTAATCGCCTCCTACTATGGCTGGATCCAGCTCTAGTGGAATCCGACAAAGGCTCGATCCAGCTCTAACCAGATCTGGGGCTGGGTTCAGCTCTAATGGAATCCTATTTGGGCTCGATTCAACTTCAATAGAATTCTACTACAGGCTGGATCCAGCTCCAATAATCAACTATATCCTACCAGGGCTCGGTCCAACTCTAACGGGAGCCTGCTATAGTCTGGATGCAGCTCTGATAGAATCAGGGCAGGGATGGATCCAGCAGTAATACAACCCCACCAGGGCTCGATCTAGCTTCCATAGCTAGCGCTCAGTCGTCGTCGCCGCCGTCGTGGTCGTCGCCGCCGCCGCTGTCGTCGTCGCCGGCGTCGTCGTCGCCCTTGGCGGACCCCCCCACCCACAGGCTCGAGCAAGGTGGGGGGCCTCGGTTCGTACTCTTCCCTCCCTCCCTCCCTCCCTCCATCCATCCCTCCCCCCCCCCTCCCCCCCTCCCTCCCTCCCTCCCTCCCTCCTCCTCCTCCCTCCTCCTCCCTCCCCCTCGTTCTCCTCCTCCTCCTCCTCCTCCTCCTCCTCCTCCTTCTCCTCGTTCTCCTCCTCCCTCCCTCCACCCACGGTTCGCGAGGGGGGGGGGAGGGCCCGTCGCCTCCCCCCCCAGCGTTCGGAGCGGCAGGCGGAACCAGCAGCGGCAAAAAGCTCTCCTTTCGCACAGCTGAACCACCTCCGCACACGCACGCACGTCTTCCTCCCAAGCAGAGCAAGGTCACCATCACGCTCAGTGGCGCCAAACACTTCGCGGCGCCAACGCACCTTGCCCTGGTGATCCCGTGTGCGCAGAACCATCAACACACACGGCACCAAGCCAAGCGACCCCGCAGCAATCAGACGGCGCCCGTCAATAAGCCATCAATCAAATGGGAGCACTAAGTCAGACAATGCAAACACGCATATGCAGTTTTGGCAGAATCGCACTGACGATTCGTCCCTTTCGATACTTTTCTGGGCCAACCTGGCTACTGCAGGTGTGCATGCAAGGGGCGTGAGGGAGCACTGCCCCGGCAGAGGTGCAGCGAGTTCTCGTGGAAAAGACAGGCCCCAGCACTCCCTGCCTCGTGTTCTTTCAAACTCGTGGGGACAAGATCCGCATGGGAGCACTGACCTCGCAGGACTATTACCATCAAGCGGCACCTGCCTTAGCTTGGGTTTCCAGGTGTGGGGATACTGGTGCCATCGTGTTCTTCCCAACTCGTGGGGGCACGATCGGAGTGCTGACCTCGCAATGCTATTACCATCAAGCGGCACCTGCCTTAGCTTGGGTCTCAAGACTTGGGGATATTGGAGCCGTGTGTTCTTCCTCAGTCGTGGGGGCACGATCCGAATGGGAGTGCTGACCTCGCAGGACTATTACTGCATCAAGCGGCACCTGCCTTGGCTTGGGTTTCCACGCTTGGGGATATTCGAGCCTTGTGTTCTTCCAAACTCGTGGGGATACGATCCGAATTGGAGTGCTGACCTCGCAGGACTATTCACATCAAGCGGCACCTGCCTTAGCTTGGGTTTCCAGGTGTGGGGATACTGGAGCATTGTGATCTTCCCAACTAGTGGGGACACGATCCGAATGGGAGTGCTGACCTCGCAGGACTATTAACATCAAGCGGCACCTGCCTTAGCTTGGGTTTCCAGGTTTGGGGATACTGGAGCATTGTGATCTTCCCAACTAGTGGGGACACGATCCGAATGGGAGTGCTGACCTCGCAGGACTATTACCATCAAGCGGCACCTGCCTTAGCTTGGGATTCCAGGTTTGGGGATACTGGAGCCGTGTATTCGTTCTAATTCGAGGGGGCACGATCCGATTGGGAGCGCGGACCTCGCAATGCTATTACCCTCAAGCGGCACCTGCCTTGGATTGGGTTTCAAGACTTGGGGATATTGGAGCCGTGTGTTCTTCCTCAGTCGTGGGGGCACGATCCGAATGGGAGTGCTGACCTCGCAGGACTATTACTGCATCAAGCGGCACCTGCCTTGGCTTGGGTTTCCAGGCTTGGGGATACTCGAGCCTTGTGTTCTTCCAAACTCGTGGAAACACGATCCGAATGGGAGTGCTGACCTCGCAATGCTATTACCATCAAGCAGCACCTGCCTTAGCTTGGGTTTCCAGGTGTGGGGATACTGGAGCCTTCTGTTCTTTCTAACTCGTGGGGACACGAACCGAATGGGAGTGCTGACCTCACAGCACCTGCCTTAGCTTGGGTTCCCAGGTTTAGGGGATACTGGGGCCGTGTGTTCTTCCCAACTTGTGGGGACACGATCCGAATGGGAATGCTGACCTCGCAGGACCATTACCATCCAGCGGCACATGCCTTAGATTCGGCTTCCAGGTTTGGGATACCGGAGCCTTGTGTTCTTCCCAACTCGTGGAGGCACGATCCGAATGGGAGAGCTGACCTCGCAGGGCTATTACCATCAAGTGGCACCTGCATTAGCTTGGGTTTCCAGGTTAGGGGATACGGGGTCAGGCCCGGCGGGGCGCGGGGGCGCAACGACGCGCACAGGTCGCACAAACGAAGACGGGCCTCCCCTTCCACTGTGTGGCGCTCCGCGCACCATCGAGAGGACATGCTGGGCCCAGATCAGAAGCTCTTCCCTCGCTGCCGTGTGGTGCCCGCTCACAGATCTAGAGATGCTGCCCGACATGGTCCATCCAGTGCACGCTGAGGAGGAGGAGGAGGAGGAGGAGGAGGAGGAGGAGGAGGAGGAGGGAGGAGGATACTGTTCTCTGGCTGACTGGAGCCGTGGGCACACATCGCCTCACCGTAAGAAGCGGCCGGCGGCCAGCGGCCGGCGTTGGCATCTACCACTTCGCTCCCGCAGGGTCGCACCCACGGGGCTCCTCGGCGTCAGCCGCCATGCCCACCTCACGGAGACCTTCCGGGACCACCCCGCCGTGCAGGGCACTCCAGGTTTCGTAATAAAAGGGAGGGGGTCTGGACCCTCCAAGACAAGCCATTT